ATTGTCTTAGTCTTTAAGTTATATAGGTATTGAGAATTATATAGATCAATAGTCATCTAAGTTTGTTATTTATAATTAGACCAATCAGGTTTTTTAGATACATAGAGATCATATTCAGTATAGATAATCTTCAACCTCTTCAGAGAGCTGTAGAAAATGGCCTTTAATCTAACTCAGAGTTTCGTGGTGGTGAGACACAATTGCTCCTGGCAACACCTCTATTCCCGAGAGAATGTTGAGCACCAAAGACACTCCACCTGGAGCCTTTCTTCTTGGCAGAACTGGCCCTTGGGCAAAGAAATGCCCATACCTCAACCACTGACAGAGATACAGAGTATCCATAAATGGATAAAAAAGGACTGTCATATCCTGCCAAGACAGGATAAGATAGTTTTGACAAGTTTCTTGCCTTTGAAAATGGTATGTTGATGTGGGAGTGTCATATATCAATCTGTTGATTTCATTGGTTAAGCAATAAAGAAACTGCTTGGCCCTCATAGGTTAAAACATAGGTGGGAGGAGTAAACAGAACAGAAGTCTGGGAGAAAGAAGCTGAGTCAAGGAGTTGCCATGATTCTTCTACTCCAGGCAGATGCAGGTTAAGATCATTCCTGGTAAGCCAGCTCGTGGGCTACACAGATTAATAGAAATGGGCTAGTCCAGGTGCAAGAGTTAGCCGAGAAAAGGCTAGATATAATGGGCCAAGCGGTGTTTAAAAGAATACAGTTTCCGTGTAATTATTTCGGGTAAAGCTAGCCGTGTGGGCGGCCGGGTGCTGGGGACGCAGCCCCGCTGCTCCTACTACTACAGTATGTCAGTTACGTTAGGCTTTAGCCAAAGTTGGTTGCTTCAATGCTGCAAACGTGACCTTGGGTGATTGCCCAGATAGCTAGTTGTCTCTGTGATTTGCTGCATGTTTTGGAAGTTGTTTAATTGCACTTCCTAATTACTCAGGTAACATTATTTCCTTTCTCAGATCTTTGATGGGGTTGAAGACTATATAAATGTAGTTACTTTCCTCTCATGACTTGGCCAAATTATTTATTATACAAGACTTAAGCTAGTTAGAATAGGTTATTTGTACTTATTGTATATAATATCGTAGTACGTTTAAAACTCTCTTACTTAAACAAAAGGGGGAGGTGTTGCAGGAGCTCCTTCCGCTCCTTCAGCCAATAGCTGCTGAGATACCAGCCCATTGGGGTGTGGTCTCTCTCTTTAAAAAAGCAGCAACTGCCCTCTGCTCACTCTGGTTTCCGGCTCTGCTTCCAGCGACTAGGCTCCCTTCCTGATTGTGCAGAGGGCTGTTGTCTGGGACGGTGATCTGTAAGTTTTTCCCCCTTAAATAAATAATCATTCTATTAATCATAATTTCAAACTGGTGACTTACCTTCATCTTTTAGGTTATTGTGGTGTCTTTAATTGAACCCTGCATGGAAGACTTGAAGGCTAGAACTTTAAGGCTCCCATTACATTTCCCCAGCCTGGCACCCCAGGGTCTCCCATGGGGAGGCCAGGGTCTCCCATGGGGAGGCCAGCCATTGAAGAGGGGTACAGTGACCCTGGCTTGGGAGCCCTGAAAGAGTGGTCACATCTTCCCTGGCCTGGCATCCCAGGGCCTGATTGTCCCTGGTGAGGCCGGCCCTGGATGAGGCAGTGCATATTCCCTGGCCTAGCACTCCAGGAAGCCAGCAGCCCAAGGCTTCACTGACACAGGGGAGGTTAGCCATGGAAGAGGGGGCACATCTTCCCTTGCCTGGCTCTCCAGGGCTTGGCCAGTCCTGCTTTGGCACACTGTAATCCATACCTGAATTGGTTTTTTTCACTTTCTTTCCTGATACTATGTTCCAGATTTCTGGGGGAAGTGTCTTAAGGTTCTTTGGTTTATGTTTTTTTTTCACATTCTTAGAGTGAAAGTCATGAATATCTGCATTAGAAAATTTTCCGTTATGATCCAATTTAATATGGCATTTATCTCCAACTTCATATTGTAATGTAGCAGCAATGAAATAATCACATTTTTTAACTTGTTTGGACTTCATCCAAATTTCATTTCTATAGACTGCTGGGTTGAACCACTTAAGAAGAACCTTTCTGAACAGAGGAAGGTCAGCCATGTTTTCATTTTTCTCTGGGTTCTCCCTGCCCCAAGACCTAATTCCATTCACATCAGTAGCAGCAGTACTCTTTCTCTTGCAGCTATCATCCTCAAAATCTCACATTTCACTATTGCTTTCACCAGTCACTTCAGATGTTTCTAGTCCCATCATGATTTTACTAACATCAGTTTTAAATACCTTTTCTTACAGCAATTCATAAAGGAGAGACTGACACATCACAGAACTATTTTTATGTTTGTTATAGGATAGGAAATATCATCATTTCCATTTGAAAAACACAGTAACACCTTTTCAGGAAAATTATTATCAGTTACTTGTGAGAAATATTTGGCACCTGATATATTCCAAAATCTTTCCTGTACATAAGAGAAAGGGGACTTTCTACCCACTTGTCCTACCCATTCCTATGGGTTTTCCAAACGTTTTAAATATTCTTCAAATGATGCTCTATAAATGCTTCAAATTTCTCTCTGTCCTCTCAAAGGTAGTGAATACAGGCCATTCCAACTTCCACATGGCAAGACGGAGAATACAATACCTGCTAGCTACAGCTCTGAACAAGTAAAACCCGTTCTTTGCAACCAATTTCTGATACAAGCCGAGTTTGGGCAGATAGGCATCCATGGGCTCCTTGAGCAGCCCCATGCAGCCCTGGTCCTTGCCGTTGGGCATGCCCATGGTTAAAAACCCTAACATTTAACCCTAATCCTAGCCTAACCCTGAGTACCCTAACCCCATAACCAACCTGAACCTGAACTCAAAGTTTAAATCCTAACCCTAACCCAACCTGAACCCTAACCCAAAACCCTCTCTAACCCTTACCTCTAACCCTAAACCCTTTTGCTGCTGCTGAGTTCTGCTAACCCTAACCCTCTAACCCTAACAACCCTAATTGTTACACCCAACACTCTAACCCCCTAATTCTAATACCTAACTCTAAGTAATCCCGAGTAATGGTAAATTTTAACCTTGCTCCCTTATCCTGACAAACCAAACATTTTGTTATATTGTTTAATAAACAAACTCTCAATTAAAAAAGTCTCATTTTCCCTTCTGTAACATTCAACATGCTATTTACAACTTGGCATGTGGTGTGTGTGTGTGTGTGTGTGTGTGTGTGTGTGTGTGTGTGTGTTTGAGTCTATGGATGATAGACTGTCCCAGCTAAGGATGATAGTTTTGGATACTTTCAGCATGGTGGGCTACATACCCTCTTTTTTAGTTATTTTTTATTTTCATCTTATGGTTTCTGGAATTAAACTCTATGCTTTAAATCTTCACAGAGAAGAATTAGGTCACACTTTTCAGTTGTAGTGATATTTCATTTTTATTTTGATAAATAAAGTCTACCTGAAGATCAGAGAGTAAAACAGCCCCACTGGTCAGTCTTATAGACCAGGCAGTGGTAACACATACCTTGAATCCCAGAAGCCACACCAGTTTGCCAAAGAAATCAGGCAATGCATGCCTTTAATCCCAATGGTACACAACATTAATCATAGCCCTAGGGAGGATTATAAAATGGGATGGGACAGCTCACAGACACAGTCTCATTCTGAGATTCTTGGAGGCAGGATCACCATTTTGGACTGCGGTAGAGGTAAGAGCCAGTGGCTGGCTGTTTTGCTTTTCTGACCTTCAAGCTGAACCCCAATTTCTGTCTCTGGGTTTTTATTATTCATGCTACACTCAGTATTTCAACATAAATAAAATTATTTTTCTCCAAACACCATGTTTAAATGTCTTTACATATAACTAAAGTAAGAACTTCTAAAACAAGAAACTCAATGTATTAACTTTTATTAATGTTTTCAATTTGTGCATCATTTACAATGAGAAATATGCCGTAAAAAGCATCCTTATACATAAATAGAGAAAGGAACGCTTAAGTAATTAATCCCTATAACATGCACATTAATTTTATTCTAGTGTGTATAAGAAAAGGAAATAAATTTTAAGCCTTTAAGTTATTACTTGGGAATGTCAAATTTTTTTGGAGAATGAATGTATTTCCTAATAGGAAATAATTATATAATTACTATGAATTAGTGCTCATAAAAATGTCTGGAAAAATTGTGTTACGCATGATGAACCAAAGATTTCCTATGTGCATTAGGTGTATCAAATAAATCAAACAAATAGCATGAAAATAGAAGAAGAGGTACCAAGGGTCTGATTATAGGACACATACATACATATTCAAGGCACATGACTAGGCTAAACAGTTGGATGAGTCCAAAACACTAGTTCATTGTTTCATTGAGAAAAGAGTAAAATGCAATATCACTTCTATTTAATTTCACCTATGGATAAATAAATGCAATTACATCTCGGGCAAAAATGTTTTCATTTCAGATAGATACCAACTACTAAATTACTGATGCCAGAGTAGATGAAGCATCATAACATTCAGACTTTCTTATTCTATAATAGATTTATGTTAAGATATTTTGTACTATATCATTGTACTGTCTATTCTCTTTCAGCTTTACAACTATTCAAAATTAGATTAAAGAATTTGTTAAACCACAAAGAAAGATCAAACTATTATTCAACAGAAGTTAAATCCAAATCCTGGAGTTGACTTCTGATTGTATTCATTTTGGGCTTTTCCCAGAATGGAAAAAAAAAAACTTCCCACATGACTGCATTTTGTGAGGCTACAATGCTGGCCCTTTTATTGTGGTTCCCTTCTTTTTCTTTGATGAGTTAGAAATATCTGCCTCCCGTTTCCTGTTATGAATTTTATTAAAAATATGTTTGTCCCAATTATGCACAGAAGAAAAATAATATCTAAAACCCACAATTCTCAACTTATTTAATTCATTTTCTCAGTTCGACTTTGTAATGGAGAAGCAGAAGATATTAAACTATCTGCAGTATGAATGAATAATGCACTAAACTTTATTTAAGAAAGTAAATGCTGGGAGGACAAGGATAATTCTTGTGCTTCTAATCGGCTAGCAAAATGTTTCCCACCTTATTAAAATAAAAACACTAAATACATCACTTGTATGGGCTCCTGGATATAAGCAGCACCAACAATTCATTACAATTCCCAAAATATTCTATATGACTTTGAAGCACCTAAAACTCTCCCATAACGAAAGAGACTAAAATGATATGTTAGCAATACAATCAATCTCCCAATAATTTTGTGTGAGCACAGAAAATTCCTAGACAGTTTTAGCAGACAAATTATAAGATTGGTGGTTTCCACCTTGGCAAAAGCTTTGTGTGTTAAAAACAAAAAATGTCTTTCTAAGTAGAAGTTTATACTTAACAAAAGAAACAAATATCATTTCAAAGATATTCCTGTAAATAATGGTTCAACGTAAAGTTTGTTAAACAATATGAGAAGACAAAGATAAATCTAGATGCATATAATACTATTACGACAAGAAAAAGCAAAAGGAAGATTAAAGGAACTGGCAGATAATTTCCGAAAAATAGTGAAAAGCCTGAGTCACATGGATTGCCTTTCTCTCCTTTCACTCTTATATGCTTGGTTAATGGTAATGTTTTCTTTTTTATTTCTTTACACAGGTTGGCCATGTAAACCCTCCACAGAGAGGTGACACAATGACATAGATGAACACCTGGAAGAAGAAAGAAGGCAATTTTACTTACATGACTCTATCACAAGGTTCAAGGAACACATCAAAGAAACTCTACTGCTATTAGAAGAGTAATGCTCTTCACTACCGTAACCAATAGTGAAACTATAGCAAAACTAAGATTGCTTGTGAGGAAAGATTTTATTATTTTCTGTTATAAAGATGCTGGCTTCAAAATATATGGTGGGATGTGTACAGTTTCAGAATTACATAATAACTTTCACACAAGTGAATGAACACACTGGGCTTCAATCATGAGACTGGATCAATGCTAAAACACATACCGCCTAGCTAACAAATGTTTGTAGAATAGATGAAATTACATATTAATTCCTATATAATTCTGTGTATAGATGAAATTAGTTGAAAGTTTTATATAACAAAAGTGTTTTGTGTGTGTGTGTAGTACATGGGTATGCACACTTGTGAATGTATATACAAAAGCCAGAGTACCTCCAGTGTCTTCCTCTACTGCTTTCCTATTTATTATTTGAGATCAGATCTCTCACTATGCAAGCATATTAGAAGTTCACTTTTTCAGTTAGGCTGCTTAGCCAACAAGCTACCAGGAACTACATGTACACACTACACACGCTGGGGCTACAGGCATGCACGACTATGCCTAGCCTTTTAGGTGGCTGTTGGAGATTTGGACCCAGGTCCTCTTGCTTATAGAAAAAGTGCTTTTAAACATTAAGCCATGTCTTTAACCACAGTTTTGCTTATCACATTTTGTACAAAACTTCTCTATAGGAAAACAGGAGTTTAAATGGAGATGATACTTAATGCTGATTTCACAAGAAAAGATATTTCCCAGTCATGTGTTTTACAATTAAAATGTGAATGTAGCCCATTTCAGAATATTAATAAATAAGAATCCCATAACCTTAAAGAGTGAAAAATAAGCTCATATACTAAAGAGAAAAAACTTACAATCGATACGATGATGATGATGACAGTAAGCTTGATATTCTTCATACACATGGCTCGAGCAAGATTTCTGCTGGTAGTTTTGAAAGTTACAGACTAGAACACAATCATAAGTTGTTTTATTCTTCGCATTGGCTATATGAATTATTCGTAGTAAAAACCTGCAAGCTTTTTTTTAGTCAATTATCTTACATTTTGGTTCTAAGAATGGAACCCGGGGCCTAGATCATGGTAGACAAGTACTCTACTACTGAGCCATACTTACACTAATTTTGTTTAAATTCAAATGTCCTTTTTTTCTTCCTTCTCTTTTCAAAGAGAGACTGGTCATTCAGAATCAGTAGTTAGCCAAAACAGAGTTCATTGAAACCAATATTAAGCAATATGAACTCACTGGCAAGGCTTCACTTCTTTTCCTTCTCTATGTAGCAATGTACATAGTGTTGAATGAACAAGTGATTATTTAGGAATAAACAATTTCCAATTGGCTTTGAACAATATATATAAATGTGCTTGATTTTCCTAGAAACATATGTATTTACTTGTTAAGTGTCAAAACCCCACAGGATCACATTTCTTCAGTTATCCATTTTCTTTTGCATTGTAATCTTCTCAGGAGATATTAAAGCATTTTCACCAGAACACAAGCAATTTAAAACAAATAGGTAAGCAAATATCAACATGTACTAAATACTCAGCTATTATTATACAAAAGAGATATATGTGAAAGTTCAAAAAATGTTTGGGTTATTATTCATACCTAAAACTGGAAAGTATTAAAATATCAGTAAACCACAATGAAATATACAGTAATTAAAACAGCTTACTAATATATTTATGTAGTCAATCTACATATCATGGATTAATGTCACAATTTTGTCATAAAGAAAAACAGAGTAAATGTTACAGCTTCTTTTTATATTTTTTGGAGACATGGTTATATGCAGTACTGACTAGTCTTGAACTTGCTATGAAGGTAGGAACATTAAAGTCCTGATCTTCCTGGCTATACTTCCAAAGTGCTAGGATTATAGGTATGTACCACCTTGCCTGGTTTAGGTGACTGCGATGGCTACTTTTTATGTCAACTTGATACAAGCCAAAGATATCTGAGAAGAGGGAACCTCAATTGAGAAAATGCCTCCATAAGATTGGGCTGTAGGCAAGCCTTTAGGGCATTTTTAAAATGAGTGATTAATGTAAGAGGGCCAATACGATTGAAGGTAGTGCTACTTCTTGGCTAGTGGTGCTAGGTTCTATAAGAAAGCAGGGTGAGCAAGCTGTAAGAAGCAAGTCAGTAGACAGCACTCCTTCATGGCCTATGTATCAGGTCCTGCTTCAAGATTTTTGCCCTGTTTGAGTTCCTGCCCTGAAATCCTTCAATAAACAGTGAAGTTCCATTGTAAGGCAAAATAAATCCTTTCCTTCCCAAGTTGATTGTGGTCATGGTGTTTCATCACAGCAATAGTAAACCTAAGATAGAAGCGATGGAGATTAAGCCCAGGGCTTTACGCACACCAAGAAGCACTCTACCAATTGAGCTACAGCCCCAGTCCAATAGCTTTTTAATATATGGGATACTCCAAAGAGTGCAGTCAATAGAAGAGGGTAGAAAGGCACCTCTGAGTTTTGATAATACTCTAAATTTAATCTGCATGTTGGCACAATGAATGTATTTACATGCATTAGTAAATAATTACAAGTTGTATACTTACAGTTAATATACTTTTCAATATGGCTGCTACATTTTAATTAACTGCTTTTTCTACAAAGTCTCTATAGTGCTGCAGGTAACAAAGTATCAGCCTGGGTTTCATTTAGTGCAGAATGAAAAGGATGCCACGCATAAACTCAACTGATACATGAGTATATACTACATGCCCAAAGTAAGTACATTAAGCCCTAAACATTCATGCCAGAAATATGTGCACTGACTAAGGCATATTAGAAGGGATTACAAAAGTACCATATGTAAATGATCAGAGAAAATGGCTCTTTTTTTATGTTTTTTTTCAGAGAAAATGGTTCTTAACTGAAAAAAGTTAATACAGTTTATAAGAACATAATGACTCTTAATAATTATATCAGTCAGACTTGTGCAACAATGTGTGCACATATCCAAGATCATACTAAAGGTTAGAAATAGTTTTTCGGCACATGATTCCAGAGAGCTCAGTCCAGTAACTTAGCCCTTTGCTTTGCCAGAACAGTATGGTGATGGTAATGTGTGGTAAAGAATATTTACCTCATGGTCCAAGTAGGGAAAGGGAGACGGGAGAGGTCTAATGATAAGACAATCTCAAGAACCATCACCATTGATGTATACTTCCTTGCACATGCCTTTAATTCCAGCATTTAAGTCACAGTGGCAGATGGATCTCTGGGTTTGAAGCCAGCCTGGTCTATATGGTCAATTTCAGGCGACCAGCCAGGGCTACATGGCGAGACAGCTGTGAGCCACTATATGGGTGCTGAGAACTGAACCCAGGTCCTCTACAATAGCAGTAAGTACTCTTAACTGTTGAGCCATCTCTCCAGCCCTACATAGGAAAGCTTAAGAGTGAAGAACTATAACAAAACATTCCAAACTGATGACCTGAAACAGAGCAAGGGAAATTGTTCTGGAGCACATTTCTACCACCAAATAGAAATTTACATTAGAATCTTAGATGTTCATGGTAACAGGTAAAGAATAAGTTTCCCTATTTGTCTACGTAAAAAGTAGGTTACCATATTTTAATCTGGTAATATTTGGCAGCCATGGAAGAGTGGGTGCAGCTTTTCCGCTTGGCTACCTAGGGCCTATCTGGCCTTGGGGAGGCCAGCTGTGGAAGAGGGGGACATAGTTTACCAGCCTGACCTCCAGGGCCTGTCTGGCCCTAGGTAGGCCAGACTGGAAGAGTGGGGCTCAGTTTCCCTGGCTTGGCACCCCAGCACCTGGCCGGCCAAGGGGAGGTCAGCCGTGGAAGAGAGGTCACATTTCTGCTGCCTGGGAGCTGTTGAAGAATGGGTGAAGCTTCCCGAGCCTAGTACTTGAGCGCGTGGCCTGTCTGGGAAGGCTGGTCATCTTCCCTGGCCTGGCACTCCAGGACTTGGCTGGACCTAGAGAGGCCGATGTGGAAGAAAGGGTGCATCATCCTGGCGTGGCACCCCAGGGCTTGTCTAACCCTGGGGATACAGACCATGAAGGAGGACACAGCTTCACCAGCTTGGCACCCTGGGCCTCGTAGGCCCTCAGGAGGCTGTCCCTAACTCTAGGGAGAAGACAGGGAGTCACAGGTTCGGAGGCCTAAATCCCCAAGGCTTGGCTGGATCTAGGGAGGCTGGTCATGGAAGAGGGGGCACATCTTCCTGCCTGGAACACCAAGGCTTGATTGGCCCAGGGGAGTCCAGCCTTGGAAGAGGAAGCACATCTTCCCCTACCATGGAAGAGGGAGTGTATCTCCCCTGGCCTGGCATCCCAGGGTCCTTGGTAGCCCTGGGAAGGCCAACTGTGGAAGAGTGGGTACAACTTCCCCAGCCCTACTCATAATTTTACTGAAAATAAACCTTTCAGCCCTTTACTAACCACCTATAAATGTAGCGTAGCACAGTAACCTTCCCCTCTTAGAATTCCCTGATGATTTAATTCCTTTCTTAACTTTCTCCATTAAGGTGTTCACTAGATGTGCACTAGTCACTCCCATGGATCTCTCTGTCTCTGTCTTTGTCTCTGTCTCTGTCTCTCTCTCTCTCTGTGTATGTGTGTGTGTGTATAAAAACCCTTATCTGATTTCTATGGTGCAAAAGAATTTTGGTCCTGAAGCCTGCTAGGGCTGGAGAATTGCTGCTTTAAAAGTTATATATGACTGTGAACATTGGTAACAGGTAGAACAAGGCAGAACAAGAATAAAGAGAGAAAGAGAGAAGAATAAACATGGGCAGATGATTCCCATTGTGAATCGAGTTCTTTACCCTCAGATTTTTAGTCCCCTTTTAGCTTATCGTGGTGTCTTTAATTGAACCCTGCACGAAAGTCTTGAAGGCTAGAACTTTAAGGCTCCCATTACATTTCCCAAGCCTGGACCCCAGGTTCTCCCATGGGGAGGCCAGCCATTGAAGAGGGGGTACAGTGTCCCTGGCTTGGCATCCCTGGATGAGGGTGCACAGATTCCCGAGCCTGTTACCCAAGGGCCTGGCATGTCTTGGGGAGGCCAACTGTGGAAGTAGAAGTGCAGTTTCCCCAGCCTGGTGGATGTGGAAGAGAAGACATTGCTTCCACAGGCTGGCATCCGTGGAAGAGGGGACACAGTAATTTCATCATGGCACCCAAGGCCCAGGCCTGGTCTGGGGAGGACATCCGTGGAAGAGGGGGTACAGTTTACCTAGCCTGGCAACCATGGATGTGGTGGCACAGCATCCCTCACCTGGCACGCCAGAACCTATCCTGGGGAGTTCAGCCGTGGAGGAAAGGGCACTGCTTCCCCAGCCTGGCATCTTTGGACCTGAAAGCCCTGGATGAGGTGCGCATCTTCCCAGGCCTGGCACAACACAGCCTGTCCTGCCCTGGGGAGGCCAACCGTGGATAAGTAGGCCCAACTTCCTCAGCATGTCACCACAGGGACTGGCTTGCCCTGGGGAGGCAGGCTGTGGAAAGAGGGCACAGCTTCCCAGGCCTGGCACCCCAAGGACTGGACTGCCCTATGGAGGCCAGCTGTGGATGATGGGGAGCAGCTTCCCTGTCCTGGCACACCAGGGCTTGGCGTAATCTAGGGAGGCCAGTCGAGGATGAGGAGGCACAGCTTCCCAGCCCTGCAACCCAGGGCCTGATCTGCCCTGGGGAAGCCAGCTGTGGAAGAGGAGGCACAGCTTCCCTGGCCTGGCACTACAGGGACTGGCCTGCCTGGGGAGGCTGGCCATGTAAGAGGGTGCACATCTTCCCCGGCCTGGGACTCCAGTGCCTGGCCTGCCCAGGAAGGCCAGTCATGGAAGAGGAGATGCGTTTTCCCTGGCCTGGCTCAATAGGGCCTGTCTGCCGTGGAAGAGGGGGTGTATCTACCCCGACTAGGACTCCAGGGACAGGCTGACCCTGGGAAGGCTGACTGGAAGAGGGGGGG